GTAGCAAAATCAACAAGTTTTGAAATTTTTAACTTCCCGTTGGTGGTTAGTTATAGTAATCGCAAAAATTGAAAATTAAAATTTTTATATATTTACGTTTTAGAGGTTCTAACCATTTGGCATGCCTTACAAATATTTGATGTATGCGTGTGTCTGATGTAAGTCGACGATTTCGAGTACACGAATCAACCTTTTCAATGATTAAAAAAAAAAAATTCGATTCCTATTGATAAGGAGACGTGCTGATTATTTTTTGGCAAAGGGCAGGTGTAGCGTTTGGAAGATATGGCAAAAAGTGCCAAAAATGGAAATTCATTTTTGAGAGCGTCGGATTTAATCATTCAATTTTACTTGTATTGCCAAAAAATGAAGAAAATTAGTCGCATGCACATTATATTATCAGATATTTTATAGAGATTTTAATAATAAGTTGATATTTTGTTAACATTTCTATGGGTTCCGCACCAATTACTTTTAAAAAAAAGTTCAAGATTGTCAAAAATCTCAAAAATCGAGTTTTTTTAAGTTTTAGGCACGATGTCATGCACCACCAGTTACATCTGATTCTTGTAAGGGTTCTCTTTAATCGCTGAATGATAGAAAGATTGAGAATCTTATACCTAATTGATAAAATCTGTCGTTTCAGTTTCGCATTCGAGTTGCTCGTGCTCAGACGTTCACCTGTGTGCTTCGGAAACATACTCTTGTCTTGCGTTCTATTAACAGGAGAAACTTCTTGATGAGTCTAAACAATATTACTGTTAGATATTTTACAAAAATATCTAGCCTAAATTCAAATTTATAGTAATCGTGCATGATTTCCATAAATATTGAACTGTGTCTGTGCTTTGCTTGGGTTTTAGAAAATATTTAAATGCTAAAGTGTATTGGTTTGTGATTATTGTTTTTCAGTGATTAGGAATTTCAATTTTTAAGGTGAGTAAGTTATAACTATCTACTTTACTGTTTATATTTTTGTGTGTTATGTTACAATTCATATTATATGTGCATACAAATATTTATGTTTATACATATGTTATGGTCGTTACTGTTCCGCCAACAATACAATTCCAATCAAACTTAGAAAGTTTCACGTTTTCCAATACACTTGAGGAGATCCATATGATTCTCATATACATTTTATATAATTAACGTATTGCATTATTGAAGTACGAAGTACTACGAAGAGCTTTTGTATCCATGCTTTGTTTTTAAGATAAATCGCATGCTAAAGTTTTTCAATATCTATCGTTACATAAGTATTAAATGCAATTGATGTATAAAAAACTTTATTCGAATATTAACAATATTTTTTAAATTTTAGTTGCATTTTATTATTACATGTGTATATAATAATATGTTCGGTGCGTACATGTGCATATACATATACATATACATATGGTATATATATATTATATATATATATATATTGGAATAATATTTTGTATGTGAAATCAAGCCGGAACATATTTTTGTGACCCGGAAACTTTGCTGTTCTATACAATCAATCCATTATAATGAGAAAATAAGAAATGTGGTGAAATGCAATGGAAAGTACATTACGTATGAGAATATTATTCTACTCACACTTGTCAGTAAACTAATAATAACAATCCACACATGAATGTTTTCAATGTATTTTATACATATAAACAGGGCCGGATTTAGAAATTTGGCGCCCTGGGGGCACTGACAAAAATGCCGCTCTTCCTGAAATTTACTTAAATAGTTTTATTTCTCATTTTTCTGAAATTAAAATAACTATTTTATTGTAGAAAATATATTACACATTACATACAACAATAATATAACAAAAAATTCATTGCGTTAAAGACTTTCTTCACAGGCACATTATATAAACTTCCAGTAGGGAAAGTTATAGTATTAGTAAAAAATGGAAAATGAAATATTTTGTATATCTTTAAGTTTCAAAGGTTATGTGAACATTCTGGCGCACTTTAAAAAATGTTCAGATCTTCGACGACTTCGGCAACTCACGGTTCAACCTATCTGAATAATTCAAAGACATGATTCTTTATTATAAGTAGTCTAGCTATTTCAAAGATACGGGAAAAAAGGTTCGTAATGCATCAAATTAACGGTTTGCAAAATTTGAAATAAAAATAAATGAATTTTAATAATCGGTTACTTGAATCCAAATTTGCGTATCATTCGTATTATGTTTCGTTGATTATATTTCTTGACAAAAAAAATTAAGAAGAATAAGTTTATTATATTGTGTAGATTTTTTCTCATTTTCCAAATTTGCACATAAAATCAATAATAATAAAAAACTATCTAAAAACACTTACATTTTGGTATCCTCGTATCACTGCAATTTTGGTACCAATTGTAGGTGTTTTTAGATTAGTTTATGTATTATTATTTTTATTCTTAAACTATAACAAATGATTTACTTGGTTAATTATTATATTTGACTGTCAAAATCCATTTTAGAGATATGGTTTCTTCGGCAAAGTATCTTATTTCGATCCTTAGTATACGAAAATCACTTGTACCTATGCGACTTTTTTTACCCATATAAATCGACCCACCTAATAATTGTATAGTCATATATATATAGCTTAATATATATATATATATATATAGATATATATATATATATATAGATAATTATTTGATCTTGCAATTTGATTTTTTTACTGGTCAGCTTTATGTTGATTCAATTATTATTTAATAAGTTAAGGAAGTTTTTTTGTGATGGCTATACTAATTGTAAGAAAACTCAAGTAACATAATATTTATGTAGGACACAGTTGGAATGTTCCAAGGTAACAGCAAAGGAAGGAAGGACAGGATGGATACGTACATTAGAAATATTATTATATATTTTCAACTATCTCTAAGATTTCACAAGATTTAATATAACATAATTTTAGATCATTAAGATCTTACATTTTTAAATCATTAAGATTTATAAAATTTAAATACGATTATATTGGTGTTACATTTAGACTGAATAAATATATCCATGTATCCAAAATTTTTAAAAATTTAGATTTAGACATGCTAAATTTTGTCTGTAATTCAGTCACGTGTTTGATGCTCGAATCAGAAGATTTCTC